GAGATTGTCACCCAAAAGGGTAAATCTTGGTAAGGATTCAATGCTTAGATATCTCCAGCAAGAGTCCCTTGCTCTAACTTTTACACAGATAGCATGAATTGCTAGGGATGGAACAATTCGGGGGAAATGTATATATTTAAATTTTTATATTAAAACGTTGGGATCCATAATACAGCTTTTTATAAAAGCAAGTGGTCATGGTTCAATTTAATGGCTGGTAAATTGTACTGCAATCCTATTACAGCTCAATTTCAAACACAGAATAAACACCTTTCAATCCTAACCACCAAGAGGGGGTAAGTGCGAATGTTAGGTTAGCCAGGTTTATTCATAAACTAGGCTCTGGGCCTCTGAAGGAGGCTCCTGTTCTTAGGAATTTTTTGTTTTCTTTTGTTCTAAGCAAATGTTATGCAAAACTGTACGAGTCGAAGATGGGACATGTAGGAGCAGTATGGCCAGTAGATGGATTTCAGCATGTTACACTATACTTAAATATTGCTCTAGGGATTTTTTGTCTTGATTTAATTAAGCATTGTAGCTGAAACTCTATGTCAAGATGTGCTACTTGTTAAAAAGAACAAAACACTGATCATAAGCCTACTCAGCTTTTCAGCATATATATCCTCTCGGTCAAGCTGTTCATTGTCAGGTTTGAATTGGAGAGAGATAAAAAAAGGCAGGGAGTGTTTAGTTATTCTGGGGTCTGTGAAATTAAGGTATTGGAACTGAAAGTCTGTTTCTTGATTTAAAACAAATAAGTTGTCACCCATTATGATTGTGGCTTTTGACAGAATGCTAATGGGATAATACTGTGTTTGATGCTGCTCTTCTGCTCAACAGCTTCAAGCAGCTTGGAGCCAAAGCCAGCTGTATAAGGCTGGCACCTGCTAAAAGTTAGTGCTCTTAGTACTAGTTTGAGTCCTGCCAAGAGCCTAAACTTGCTAAAGGTAGGAACATTTTTTATCTAGCTAGGTCCTTGCTACTTTCTTCTCTACTGCTCTTTGCATCTGCTGATGGTACTGAATGTTTTTTCCCCTTACAAATGTTATTGCTTGTTTGGTTGATATGTAATACCGTACAGAAAATGTTTTTTGCTGTAATAATTCTGAAGACATTGTTTCTCTGTATTGAGGTCCAGTGTCCAAATGTGTTTCTTGCACTCTAAAGTACATTAACTTTTTCATTCTAATTTAATAAATGTATCATCTAAATGAAAGTGTACTATGTCTCTGTTGGAGAGGACCACAATTTCAGTCTTTGTTTATAGACTGATCTAGAATTTAATTTTCAGTTACTGTCTTTTATTCAGTGTTGCACATTAGTTAACAAGTTACAGTGGTTTTTAACGTGATCATCTGGTGGGACTAGTACAGTAAATGCTCAGAAGTATTTTACACATTCATCTCTAGGTAGATGCCCTTTTCTAACTCTTCTAGGTGCTACTCTCTCAAAATGTTAAGGTATTACAGGCCTAGAGGACAGAATGAGGCAGTAGCGAGGCATTGTTCAAAGGGCAACGTTGGAGGGCAAGGGAGGAGGCAAGAGCGGTGTGTGGGGACGGAGGACATGCTCTGCAGTGTGGAGGGATTGAGAACTCTGTAGATGAGAGTGGTGTCCAAGTGAAGAGTTATGAAATAGACCTTGTTATGTGCTATTTCAGCTACAGTAGGAGCTGGCTTTATCTGCTAATATGTAACTACTGAAATTTAAAGATTTGGTTTACATAGCATCTCTTTTTAGTTCTGTGATTGACTGCAAAGTTATCCGAGGTCCTCTTTCTCACTTAACAGCATTGCTATGCTCAGTGGTTATTTATCAACTGCTTATGTCTCGTGTTAGTGTATTATCAAGCTACCATTCTGGGTTTTACTGTCCAGTTCATAGGGTGGTTTTTTTTATCAGGAGTTAATTTTTTTTTTAACAAATGATAGTTGAGAGGAATCTTCACAACTGAATTTCCTTTGATTTATTTCCTTTCACCTACTGTGAAATGAAATTACGTTCAAATTGTGGATTCTTCTAGCCATTCAGTGTCAGTTTCTATCCCAATTTGTGTTCTAAATCTTACAGTTTGCTTTCGCGTTTCTCCAGTGTACTGTGAGAGATAAGGAAAGTGAGAATTAATTTACTTAAACAAATGTTGGTGTTCTTGTGGCTGCTAAAGATCTATTTAGCATTTTAATATTTATTAGCTTTTTCATTTCAATGCTAATCAACCAGTGATGGTGTGTGAGGGTGTCAAAAGAAATCAGTGTATTTTGAATTATTAAAACGTTTAAGCACATCAATGAGAGCAGAGCCTCTAGGAACAAATTCAAATATGTGTTTTCTTAGAGTAAGTAGGAAAAATGAAAACCCATATTGACAATCTTCTCTGCTGCAGTCTCAAGTTGTAGCCTGCTGAAGACTTCAACTTTCTCTCCTAGATCTTCAGGAAGCTAGTTTAGACACCTAAGTTGATCTATTTTCATACTGCAGTATATTTTAGAAGGATTTTCTTTTCTATCTTGCCAAAAAAGCATATTTAATTTTGTAAGAATAAATAGACTATACTTATGGTATGCCATAACTTTTGAAGTAAAATTTGCATATAGATTGGAAAAGTGAATTTGTGGAAAGCAAGTAGATTGAAATTGGTCTTAGCTATGTCTGTATTTCCATGTGTGGAGGACCTATGAAACTACTGCTGTTTGGACTATTCAAAGAATTCACTTAGAACATGTTTTTAAAACATCAAGTGTACTAATCTGGAATGTGAAGCAGACTAGATACAAATGGACAACAGTTATAATTGTAATGCATTTATCAGTGGAAGAGAATGAAGGATGATTCAATTTATTTTTAAATTATCTCTGATTATAAAATAACTCCAGTGAGTGAAAAAGTACACTGAACTTATCTTCCACATCTGCACTGTCCATGACTTTTTTTATGGATTAGATTCAGGAGCTTGGCACATAGTCACAGGACAGTGTTTTTCCATCTTAAATGCATAATTTCTGTAATAGTAATCAGCTTAATGTGGAGCATTCAGGTTGATTTGAAATGCTTAATGCTATTTTAAAAATTAATCACTAAGTAATTATAAAAGTGCACATAGTGGGGAGAATGGCGACAAGTTTGTGACCGGCGCAGCAGGCCCGTCTCCCCCGTGGCTACCTCACCGTCCCAGGTGCCCTTGCATAACAGGTACAACGGTCTGCAAGTGGAACCAAACAATGACAAGAATGATGGTTCATCTAGGCTGGAGGCGTCACCAAGGTTAAGTCGGCCTATGGACTGTGTCAAGACCACTTCCGTAAAGAAAGAAAAAAGATGAGTTATTTTCATAGGAGACTGTCTTCTGAGGGGAACAGAAGGTCCAGTTTGCCGACCAGACCCACTTCTTAGGGAAGTCTGCTGCCTCCGTGGTGCCCAGGTTAAAGATGTGACAAGGAAACTTCCCACCCTGGTATGGCCCTTGGATTATTATCCATTATTGCTTTTTCACGTAGGCAGCAATGAGGTTGCAATAAGAAGTCCAAGGGTGATCAAAAGAGACTTCAGGGCCTTGGGACAACTGGTTAAGGGATCAGGAGCACAAGCAGTGTTCTCTGTCCTTCCAGTTGCAGGGAATGATGAGGGCAGAAACAAGAAGACCCAGCAGATCAATAACTGGCTCTGAGCCTGGTGTCACCAGCAGAATTTTGGGTTTTTTGATCACAGGTTGGTCTACACAACCAACACCAGGGCTGCTGGCGACAGACGGGATACACCTGTGTCAAAGGGGGAAAAGGATCTTTGTGCAGGAGTTGTCAGGGCTCATTGAAAGAGCTTGAAACTAGATTTGAAGGGGAAAAGGGATAAAACCAGGCTTGCCAGAGGTAAGCCTGGGGGTGGCATGCCAGTGTTTGAGGGGCAGTGTGCTAACAAGGTCCTTCAGTCTGCTCCACAATGTGCTGAGTACACTGGAGCACATTTGAAATGTCCCTGTACTAATGCATGTGGCATGAGGAATAAACGAGAGGAGCTAGAAGCTTTGGCCTGGTCCCAGAGCTACAACATCATTAAGCAAAACCTGGTGGGATGAGTCCTGTGACTGGTGTGCCATGATGGACGGACAGTTATAGGCTCCTCAGGAGGGATGGGCAGGGCAGGGTAGGGGGGGGGGGGGGCTGGCCCTGTATGTAAGGGAGAGGTTGGATTATATGGTGCTTATGGTTGGTGATGCCATGGTTACCTTACCTCTGGGTAAGGATGAAGGGGAAGGCAAATACAGTGGATGTTGTTGTGGGAATCTACTATCAACCACCCAGCCAGGATGATGATACCAATGAATTATTCTACAAGGAGTTAAGGGATATCTCTAGATCAACTGCCCTTGTCCTTATGGGTGATTTTAACTTCCCAGACATCAACTGGGAATGTCATATAGCAGACACAAGTCCACAAAATTCCTGAAGCACGTTGGTGATAACTTGGTACAGGTACTAAAGGAGATGACTAGGAAAGGTGCCCTCCTAGATTTCTTAAATGGAGAGGGACTTGTGGGCAAAGTGCTTATTGATGGCTACCTTGGTCACGGTGACCATGAAGTAGTTGACTTTCAAATCATTGGCAATAGGAGGAAAACTGTCAACAAAACTTTGACTGTGGATGTGGGGAGAGCAGACTTCAGGCTGCTGGAGGAGCTACTTAGTAAGGTCCCCTGGGAATCTGCTTTTGAAGGTATTGGGGTCCATGAATGCTGGTCACTTTTTAAGAGGCATCTCTTAAGAGTGCAGGAGCAGGCAATTTCAAAGTGTCAGAAGTCAAGCAAGTGGGGCAGAAGGCCGGTTTGGCTGAGCAGGGATCTTCTTTTAGAACTTAGGCAGAAAAGTAAAGTATATGGACGTTGCAAGCAAGGACAGGCAACATGGGAGGACTAGAGAGATGCTGTTTGCCACTGTAGGGAGAAAATTCATGCGGCCAAAGCTCATTTAAAGCTGGCCAGCACTGTGAAGGACAACAAAAAGGGCTTTTTAAAATACCTTAACAGCAGAAGGAGTGGCATCAGAGATGATAACATTGGTCTGTTGCATGATGAAGTTGGTCACCTTGCAAACAGGAACATAGAAAAAGTGGTAATGTTTAATGCCTTCTTCACCTCTCTCTTTAACACTGATGATGGGCCCTGGGACCCCTGGAGCCCTGTGCTGGAAGGCTGTGACTGGGGGGGATGATAAACTCCCAGTCGACTGAACTTGTTCAAGACTTGCTGCTCCAGCTGGGTGTGCATAAATCTATGGGGCCCAATGGGATTCATCCCAGGGTACTGAAAGATCTGTCTGATATTACTACAGAACCTCTCTCTGTTATTTTTCAATGGTCTTGGGAATCTGGAGAGGTCCCAGTTGACTTGAAGCTGGCAAATGTTGTCCAAATTTTGACAAAGGAAGAGGAGGAGGACCCTGGTAATTACAGGCCTGTCAGTCTCACTTCAGTGCCTGCTAAAATTATGGAGAAGGTTGTTCTGTGAGTTATTGAAAAACACTTGAGAAACAATGCAGTCATTGGTTTCAGCCAACATGGGTTCGTGAGGGGAACCTGCTTAATTAACTTAATTTTCTGTTATGACAAGGTCACCCATCTAGTTGGCCAAGGGAAGCCAGTAAATGTGGTGGTTTTGGATTTTAGCAAAGTTTTTGTTACTGTCTCTCAGATCATCCTCCTGGACAAAATGTCCAGCATACAGCTAGACAAGTCCATAATACATTGGGTGAGCAACTGGCTGATGGGTCAGGGTCAAAGAATTATAGTAAATGAGGTTACATCAGGCTGGCAGCCTGTCACCAGTGGGGCTCCCCAGGGCTCAATTTTAGGGTCAGTGCTCTTCTATGTTTTTATAAATGGTCTGGATGCAGGAGTCAAATGTACATTAAGTAAGTTTGCTGATAATACTAAATTAGGAGGAGCTGTGGACTCCCTTGAGGGTAGAGAGATCTGGATAGACTAGAGAGCTGGACAATCACCAACAGTATGAAATTTAACAAAAGCAAGTTCAGGATTCTCCAGCTGGGATGGGGTAATCCTGATTATATGTACAAACTGGAGGATGAGATGCTGGAGAGCAGCCCTGCAGAAAGAGATCTGGGGGTTTGGGTTGATGGCACTGGTGCAGCCCCACCTTGAGTACTGTGTGCAGTTTTGGGCACCTCGCTATAAGGACATCAAACTATTAGACTGTGTCCAGAGGAGGACGACCAAGATCGGGAAAGGTCTCAAGGGCAAGACTTGTGAGGAGTACTTAAGGTCACCTGATTTGCTCAGTTTAGAGAAAAGGTGGCTGAGGGGTGACCTCATTACAGTCTACAACTTCCTCAAGAGGAGCAGCAGAGGAGGAGGTGCTAATCTCCTCTCTCTGGTGACCGCAGTTAGGACAAGAGGAAATGGTACGAAGCTGTGTCAGGGGAAGTTCAGATTGGACATTAGGAAAAGGTTCTTCACTGAGTGGGTGGTCGGTCACTGGAACAGGCTCCCCAGGGAAGTGGTCATGGCACCAAGCCTGTCAGAGTTCAAGGAGCATCTGGCTGACACTCTTAGTCAAATGGTCTAGTTTTAGGTAGTCCTGCGAGGAGCAGGGAGTTGGACTTGATAATCCTTATGGGTCCCTTGAACCTGATGTATTGTATGATAGTAGCTCTTGTTTAGAGCCAGCTCACTGAACATAATTTCCTTTATAAAATGGAATTTATTCTGTTCTCAAATGGCACAGTATGAATTAACAAGCTCACTTGTTATAATGAGATTATTATTTTTTGTTATAATGTGACATGTAAATAAACTGGCAACAATTTCAGTTTAATTTCATGGCTGGGTGGTAACTCTGAGTCCAGAAGATGCTTCATACAGTTTCAAACAATACAGCTGTGCTTGGGATAAATCTTTGGGAAGCTAGAGTTCCAGATAGCTGAGAATGGTATCAGTTCAGCTCCCCAACTTTAAGGTGTCTAGGTTTTGAGCTTTTATAAAGGGAAGTTGATTTATACATTTGTTGTACTGGTAATGAATTTGCAATGCTGACTTTTGTAGTGACTTCTTACCTGAGCTTGATCATTTTGTTTTCTGTCATTCTGAAGAATGAAAATACCACTCTGCTTGTTCTAGTAGGTGTTTCCCAGCTTAAAACCTTTTGTGGTCAGTCTGTTAATCAGCCTGTCTTATGTTTTTGGATTGTCACACATAATGATTTGTTTGTTCGCCGGTAGTAAGGCATTGAAGAACATTGAACATTGGAAATCAGATGTATTGTTTCAGCACAGCCATAGCACTACTGAAGAAAACACAAAACATAAAAGGCTGTTAATAGCATGGTTTTAATGGTATAGAATTTTGTAGTTAAGATCGAAACTCCTATTACCTTACAAATGGTGTTAGAAAATATGGAGAAACTCTTAAACAACTGGGTGGGCGGTGCTATTTTTTCATTTTTTCACTTCAAGTGTTTTCTACAGTGGTGGAATGTTAAAATGTTTGGGTTTCAGTAATAATTTTCTTCATCCTAAGTATCCTAAATATTATGAAGAAAATTACTACTTGAGTTATTTTTTACGAAGCATAAATTTGAATCTTATTGAATACCATTAAAATTTCTAATTGATTAGGAAGAGCAGGTTCATGTACAGCTTAGAGGTTCTTACATCGTGTCCCTCATTCTGAGTTGTTTCACTATCTATGCACGCAGTCGGCAAGGGATTTCTCATGTCTTCCTGTTTCATGTTACCTTGCTCTTAGGTGTGATACCAAGAGTGGGCTATCTCACAGCACTAATATTCTCCAAGGATACACTTGCATCTTGAAGTTTGGGGCAAGTAGTATATTCTCCTGGAAAAACATACTTAGCCTAGTTGGAGAGAGGAGGGAAACAGTCAGGTTTCCATGTTCCGTAATGTGCACTTGAACCCTCTCTTGTGAAGAGAGGTATCTGCAGGCAAGATATGAATTACTATTGGCGATGCTTCCGACAAGCGTGAGAAGTGTTTAAAAAGAAACTCCTTCTCGTGGTAGGTGACTAGCAAACCTAATCATTACAGTCATAAGAATAAGGCTGCAGTTTTGTGAGGTATTTAACATAATTAAAACAACACTGTCTGCCTTTTTCCATAAATGTGAGGTTTGATTCAAAGCCTCCTGATACCAGCAGGAATGTTTTCACTGAATTTAATGGTTTAGATCAGGCTCTGTTTTGTTACAGGTCACATGGTAAGCACTGGAATGCGAGAGGCTTTGGGTTATTGTTATATTTTCAGATGTCTTTTATTCCTCAACTCTGCATTTCCTTGATTGTTAATTGACCATGTATATAAAGCTATAATATACATTCATTTGGATGTCTCAATTTGATTCAAGTCCAACTAACAGGAATAGGCTATCAATTAGTCTAACCTGTGAAGGGAGATTTTTTTTTTAGCTCAAATTAAAAATCAGCATATGGCCTGTAGCCAGAGGATTGAGAACTCTTTCCCTCTTCATCCTAAGTAATATATTTTGCAGTGCTATTTTTGTCCATTTGAAAAAGGTCATTTGAAACTACTAAAATGGGGGTGTCTGAATAAGAAAACCTTAGCAGGGTGATGCCAAAAGAAATGATGATTTTATTTTTCTTTCTTGCACAGAGTGTTATGGGAATACTTTAAAATGATAAATTTAAATACTTCCATTGAAAGAGCTGGCAAGACAAATCTGATAACCTCTCTGGAGCACATTTCTTTTTAAAAGAAATGGAAGGATGATTTGTAGATCTCTTAAGGTTTCAGCATGTTCACACAGCATGGAAGCAAGAAGTGGCTAAATACTTTGATATAATTCAGAACTTAAATTCATGTGATTATGGAACCTCATTACCTGAGGACCAGGACTCAGCCTTCATGTCCAGTGAATGTTTCAAAAGAATTTAACATGATCTGTGTCTTCACTATTGAAATATAGGAGTACTGCTAAAATGTACCTCAGAAACGGCTTGGCCCGTTGAGCTAGTCTGAATATTTTTATATTGAAGGTGATCCATCACTGCTATCTTCAGTGGGAGGAACAAAACAAACAGTGAAGGCATCTGGGAAAATCAGGGGAGCTTAATTACTTTAGAGTTGTGGTGTAGTCAGCTGTCAGGAAACAGCATGACCATAAGGACTATGTTGTGACTATCTGTGTAAACAACCACAAAGTTGCTGTGATACTAGATGGTACAACACAGCATTTTTGTTTCTTTGATTATTGCTTTTATGTTTTCAAGAAAAATGCTTGTTTGTGCTATTACGTGAGTTGAGTTGGACGGGGTGAAGGAAGTTTGTGCGAAAGAAATTCTCAATCCTTTTCTACTGGAGGCAAAATCCAATTAAGAATCTTTTACTTCTTTAGAGAGGGAAAGGCAGAGACTCTAATAGAAAGAGGAATAATTAAAAATGGATTAAAGGTCTGCAATATCTTAATTCTTAGATTCCAAGCTAGTTTGTTTATGATTTTTTTAACAAAAATAAATGGAGTATGATTAGTCATTTAAAGTAGGTTAGCAGCATACCATGTTTTAATGGTCCCTTCTGATGCTGTGTACAAAGGAAGTATTCTTTGGTTTGTAGTCAACTCCTTATAAAGTTCTAGATCCCCAAAATCATGAAAATGTCAGGGCTCTGTATGATACTCATACATCGGACAGGACCTTTTGCACATCCCTCCTATTTTCAGGATTACAATAAGTGAACTTTATACTTCTGTTAGCTACTGGTGCAGTATTTGGGAGCCTAATAAGCCAAATCAGTGATTTATCCTCCTGTTGGCAACATAATCTTGAGGCTCAGGAAATGAAAGCATGAAAACGGGAGATAAAAAAATAAAGGTCTCCATAAGAATATTCTGATATAACATGTTGCCTCTTAGAATCTCTGCTCTCTCAACAGATGGAATTGCGTTAAGTGTAGTGGCAAAATTAACAATGCAGAAACTCTATGTGTGCATTTGTTGTGGTTTAACCCCAGCCAGCAACTAAGCACCACGCAGCTGCTCGCTCACTTCTCCCCCCACCCAGGTGGATGGGGGAGAAAATTGGGAAAAGAAGTAAAAC